AAATTACATCTCCGTATCGTTCCTCGCTCGTTAAACGAAACGTCCTTAACAGCCCCGCATTTTTCGCGGTAACACCCGCATTAATATCCGCGATGTATTTGTAGCTGAGAACTAAGAGCTCAGACACGATGAAAGAAATAAGAAACGAGGAATTAAATGTAGGGAATTAAGAGTGAGATTATTGGGAATAAGCTATAGTTTGAAATACGACAAAAGGAATAGAAAATGGGATGTATATGGGAACGATTTAAAACGAGATCGTCACTTTTACTATTTTCCAATAAACTTCTACTGCCATCATTAACACGTTTATTACTATTTTGATGACTATCGATTTATTCTACTTGATTTTCATTTGTATGTGGGTGATTATTAAAAATATTTTGAAGGTGAACTTTTAGTCAACTACTAAGTGAACTATAAGCACACAAGTTAATATGGAATAAAATTTCGATAGTGTTCCTAATCCTCATTTTCTACTCCTTTATATTTGGATTGAACTTTGGTTGTTCATATGTCGAAATTTATTCCCTTGTTCTTTATTCTTTTCACTGTGTTTGAGCCCTAAGAGCGAGATAAATAAGGAAAGGGGAGAATATAAGGGAGAGACGCTCCAAATCAAACGTTTCCGTTACGTCGGATATTTTCACGCTTGTTACTCCGCAATCGCGTGGGAGGGGAGAAGGAGACATCGTATTGTCTCTATTTTTACGCGCTGATAAAAACTATTTCAGCGATAAAAGTGAAATTGAAGCAGAAAATATGGATCGAAGAGAGCGTGATAAAGAGAAGGGAGAGGGGGGAAGGCGTAGGTCCTAACGAGCGGAGTTAGCGGTGCGACGAAAATAGCCACGGAGCGATCCCGAGTATGTATTACATACATCGGTGCGTTAAACGTGCGAATTATCCTGCGTCACTGTCTGCATACATAATGCGTAATCTTCTTCTTCCATTTGCCGGCTACGCGTTAGGCAGACGCGTGGACGTTCCGGCGATTTACTTCTCTCCACGGATCGGATCGCGAATAAGCGACATGGAGATCTAAGTGTATCGCGAGTTTGTTTTTTCGCCCAGCGAAACGTACTCGCCAAATTTCTCGGAGTGGAATTCCACTGGACGAGGAGCAGAGTGACAGCCGATCCACTCGAGTTCGAGTGATTTCTCACTCGCACAGGTGTAAATCTTTCACTCGGAATCGTCGAGTGGATATCTTCACGCGAAATTGAAGAGTAAATCTCATGCGTCTTATGAATTATTTAGTTATTTACAGGAAATATCACAATTAAAAAAGAAGTGAAAAATACAAAATAAACTGAGTTATTAATTATAAGTAAATTACAAGATATAATTAAATAAATATTATTATATAATGAATTATATGAATATTATATATCTTCCAAATCTTATGTATTTTATGCATATATGTTATGTATACATTTTATATACGTGCATTTTATGTATCCCATCGTCACAGGAACAAACTTATTTGGAGCAAGTGAGACATTCACTCTTGCAAGTGGCCGTATTTTTCTACCTATCGCCTCGAGTAAATTTTTACTCGTTTACTCGGAGTGAGATTTTACTCTAAGATGTTCGGGGAGAATATCTACACGTTGTTGTAAGGATTCGACTATGGACTTTCTCGTGTACTTCTTATTTCTTCTAAATTTTTTGGAATAAAATCTCATTCGAGAAAGAATAAAGTGGAAATTCAGTCGAAGCGATAGTGAAGATACTGTCACTCAGTATCGCAAATCTCATTATGTTACATGGAAAGTATAATCAACGCCAGTTGACAAATTTTTTCACGGCCGATAAAGAGCCGATATCAGTACTGTCATTTAAATCATCTTTTGCTACTTTTTCTTGAAAAATCGCTAAAAAAATTCACTTTCGTCCAAAATGGGTGAGCCTGAGCTGCTGTTAAATTTGTAAAATAGATGTTCTATATTTATTTTTGCTGTCTCGTCTACTGCCGATTGTTCCGAAAGCGTACTTATATCGTTCATATCTTTGGTTTTACCTTATAAACTTCCAAATCGTACTATGAAAAGAACTCGCCAAATGTTAAATTATCCAAAGATAAACTTAGGAAGAGTAAGTATTATTTTTTGCTCAAAAGGCCTAAGTTACTCGCAGAATTTGACAAAAAAAAGTGTTACTTTCGGTCACTATTTTGATGTCCTTACTTTTTATCACCCATATTTTGCTAACAAGCAGTCACTATTTCACTGTTTGCCGGTGACTGGGTGGTAGCCCTGCGATATGGAACGAATCGATAGATACATAAGTTTCAAATCACTGTATTATTTACCATATTTTCGATGTAATTCAATTGTCAGCTTTTGTTAAGCTTCTGTGTAACCAGGGAAAATCAATACGATCATTGTTAACATGTTAACTCAAATTGTAGAGCATGTTAATTTATACATACAAGTGGATGTTTCAATCGATTAGAGTAGACTCGTTCCTCTGACAGTGGAGCACATTAAATTCACACTTTTCAATTTTGAATAGAAATATTCAATCGACAATTCAAAGTACAGAATTTATACGAGTTTCTCTCTGTATAATTCGCTCGACTTGGAGTAACTCGACTGTCATTCTGCTCCTCGAATGGAATTTTACCCGAGAAAATTTTTAGAATATAGACTACACCTCATAAAAATTGTGAATATGACATTGAAGGATAACGTATCTTCCGCTGTCTTCCACCATCCGTAGGTATCTTCGTTAACACGAGAGAAAAAGAGGGGATGGGTTGACGTACAATTTAAAATTTGTTGCAGCGAAGGTACATATCCATAAAAAGAAACGTCTTCCTTATCTTCATGTTGTAAGTTACAGATATAATATCACATTGCTTTTAACTTTCTCCTACGTAGGACTTAACGTGCCGTCAACAAGAGTGGTGATCAGCTGATAAATTTCTCCTTATCAATATCTCTTACCAAGTTAAAATTAACCAGGTATAAATATTAAGAGGGTGAAGTTCCTCGTCGTGTCTTTTCTCTCCGTTGTATTCCTTCAATAGCAGTCAAGTTATATATAAAAACAGAGACGGGGACTACCTGTGGCATAAACGGCTATCTTTTTCTACTCTTCACGGTTTTTTGTGGAAACGTCCAGTCCAGTCCATTTGTACAAGGGCGATTTTCGTCAAATTCTGATTACTGAAACTAATCGACGTTTAACTCTGTCCGCAGAATTACCAACGTTAAAAATAAAAGACAGCTTTTGTTATTGAAATAAAAAATTCTTCTCTGCTTATTAACTTATATTAAAAATTGCTGTATCAGTCGAGTGTTATTTCTCTGTTTCGCTGACATACGCAAAATTTAAATATTTCTGTTCTTATCTTATCGTAATAACATTACATAAGTAGAAATTGCTGTTGACAACTCGGTCGCGTATATCTATCTCAATCGTCAAATTTAACGGAAATTTTTCGTCGAAGTTGCTTCTAGAGCCTTAGAATGTCTGACTTATCATTTCGAAACAACCTTTTATGCTTGAAATCTTTTAGTGACGATAACTATCTTGTGTCTGAAGTCTTAAACTAAAAAGTTGTTCTGTTTGTGATTGATAACAAACCTCTGGTATAAGAAACAAATAAAAAAATGATATAATTTAGGCGAAAATTTGGTGCAAAAAAAACATTGTCTTAAAATGACAAATCAGCCATTCTGCCAAGGCTCCTCTTAGTTTCTGGATCGAACGTTCCGCGCGACTCGTCGTCCGCCGTTGCCGTTCGCGAAACGAGCGTGGCACGCGCGATCGACGTGGTAACGATCGTCATCGTCGCGATGGTTAGTCCCTTAATACCATGGGCAAACAGTCACGTCGCAATCAGTCGCTCTCGCGGGATTTGCATCACACAAATAACAGCTAGAGAGCGATTGCAATCCGCGGCCGAATTTAGCGTGGCGTTGCCGTGCGGCATTTATCTCTCCCCTTTTATCGACGCAATCGGAGATTACTCGTACCACGCGTACTTTCGACCATCGATTACACACGCTGTTGTTACAGGTGACTATTTTTTACTACGCTCGTTCGAAGTTCTGTGGCGATACTCGGAATGGCCGAGACTTCGAGGGTGCAATACCGAAGAGCATTCTTCGGCCTTGCGAGTCGCACGAGCGCGCGCGTGGCGCACCGCGTGTGCAAGTGACAATTTCTCGCCAAATCGATGTTCGAGAAATTTTCTCGAATTTTCTTACTTAATAAAAAGAAATATATTCATTAGTTCATATATTGGTAACTCACAGACTATTATGTAGTCTTACCTAATTCTAAGTGTAACGAAAACTTCTCAAAACAAAATTAGAATTCTTAAAAATTCACCGGACAGAATTAAAATTAATTAAATAAACTTGATTGAACTTTTTTTTTCGGATAATCGCGACTTGAATAAATTTCTTGGTCGTAATTTTTTACCTGTCAGAATAAAATACGACGAAACGTGACGATGATATTACACCATGTCGGGACGTCATTGTTGCATCGCGAGCCTTAAATATTGACTCCGACGACGACGCTCTCTCAAGATGATATAAATCTTATTGCGTAAGTCGTCGCGCTATTGCGATCGCGGCAAACTCGAAAGAAGTTCGATTAAATCTACCAAGGCCACAGGTTACATTTTTATCGTTGTCGCGACGGAAGTTCGTTATCACTTTCGGCTCGTTATCACCGCGATCACGATCGTGATCGTTGAAAGGCGAGAAAAGCACGATACATCCATGATTTGCCATCGTTCGTTATCGTTGCTCGCTACATAGGCATATATACGCGCACATGTACACATATATCGAGTATCCGGTGTCGCGATAATAACGTTATCGCGCTCCAGAGAGACACTGCGAAACACGATAGCCGAGATGGCAATCAGCGCGTCGATAAGAAGCATCACTCTCAAAACGATGGTCAGAGAGAGAGAGAGAGAGAGAGAGAGAGATCGCAGAACTGCATTTAATAATTTTACCTGATCGTGGACTCACCTCGTCACGTCGTGAACAGACAGGGTATGCAAGTCGCGTTAAATTCACATGACGGTGGTGCTGCACGCGCCGCAGTTTCTCGCTGGCACTTTGGGCCGCCCTTTTCATTGCCCGACTCTTTTGAACGTTCCTCGTCCTCTTTCTCCTCTGCGAGACTGAAGAGGCTACGAAGTGGTGAACGAGGAGGCGTAACGAGCCCTTTGAATCACCGCTTCTCGCTTCCGGCTGTAATAATAACGACAATAATTCCGAAGAGCGACACGTTTGTGCAAACTACACGAGGGAAGAGAGAGAGAGAGAGAGAGAGAGAGAGAGAGAGAGAGAGAGAGAAAGAGAGCAAAAGCGAGGTCTGCCCGCCGTTTACCTCGTTATTTTTTAACAGAACGATCGAATTCCTTCATTTTTTTTTTCGTTTCTTTTTCCTTTCGTATCGTGCTTTCGACACGCATCGCGTATCGTGATCGACTTATGAACGTGGAAAATTTGGAGAAGTCAGCCGGCGTAGGTTTGTAGGCAGCGAGGTGTGACCGACACTAACCTCGGCGTCTTTCACTTTTGCTGGCAGTCTTAATGTTCAAACAAATGTCAGCAGCCGGTATTTCGGCGATTTAAAAGCGACCTACTGGAGCGTGACGTGATCGCGAGAGCATATTAGCGCAATCGCATTCGCACGCGCGCGCGTAAAATCGATAGCATTGCGCGAGAGCGGAAAAAGAAGGCCGGCCCCGCGCGCGGACGTTTCGCGAAGAAGTTTGTGGGAAATGGGAAGTAAAAATTTGCGACGGGCGATTCTCCGGGATGGGGAAAACTTGCCGGCAGTAATAACAGACAAATGAAGAGAAAAGAAGAATTTAAAAAATTCAAACATATTCGATAACATTATTAAATCTCTTTCTGAATTCTCTTATTTAAAAAGAATAAACGATCGCTTTTACGAGAAGCTATATTAAAGAAAATGCACATTTTTTCATTCGAGCAAAATTGTTTTCAGCATCAAAATATGTACATCAATATAAGTAAATGTGTTATTAACACTTTGCGGGCCGCTGTCACGCTGACGTGACTTTTGCTCGCCAACGGTTATCGGCCGCTGTCACGCTGGTGTGACTTTTGAAGGCGAGCAGTAGAACCTGCGTGAATCTCGCCGGCGGCAGCGTAACGGCGCTTCGATAAATGCGCGGTAATACCGAAAAAGTATTTCTTTTATTTTTTACATATATTTTTTTCTTAGTGTGTGCAGAAATAAGGAGGGAAAGTTTCAAAATCGCACGAACAACATTATTGGAAGGTGGACCGCGTGAGATTGCATTGTTGATGAATAGACCTTTAAAGGTATCCGATGAAAGAGGAAACCGGATCGAGTCGACCCGAGGGCCGTATTCTTTGAACGCTTAGCGAACGCTAATATGCTTTTCTGATTCTTAAGCTGTAACGTCATATACGTGGTGTTCATACAAGAAGTGAACTTGGAATTAGGCATATTTAGCGTTTGCTATGCGAAGAAAGAAAATGCTGTTGTATCAATGGAATTAACCGACAGCGCCATAATTGGAGTAAATCTTTTCGATTTAATAGCTATATTATTGAAACTAATGTATTATATATTGCTTCAATAACTCGAGTATTAGTTTCAATAATATTGCTGTTGAATAAAGAAAATTCATTCCAATTATGGCGCTGTTGACCAATTCTGCTGATACAGCAGCATTTTTGTCTGAATATGCGTCCAGAATGAAGTCCTAAAGGTCACATTATTCGCGTGTTCTGTTAATGTTTTTATTGTGAAAGAGGAATATTGGAAAATCGCAAAAGGCTCCTGTTAGAACGCAGGTGTTTCTCCTGTGTTCTAACAGGAACATTTTGCGATTCGTTTTTCGTTATTCCTGCCGCAATACAGCTTAATTGGCCAAGTTGACACCAGGCCGCCCTTACAGGTGATCTTTAGAAACGCGATCACTACAGAGTGAGAGCTCTGGCTTTCCAGGAACCAGGATCCGATTGAGCGAGATCCTTCCGAGCTTTTGTCGGAAAAAGGTCAGGGCAATTATGAAGGTATCCGGAAAGATTTCGGAGTGTAATTCCGTTTTTCCCAGACACACAATGGGACATAAGAAATAACAGAATTATCCTAATTGGAAACCTTATCGAGCAGGGCAATTATGTTTCAAAAAGATCCATATCGAAGTACTTGTGCCATCCTCTACATTCCTATTGCATTATCTGGGAAGACGGAGTTATTTCGATCGAAACTTTTCTAAATAGTTTTCTAATAATTTTCCAAAGAAAATTATATTCTCGAAGAACCCTCTAAACGGTTTAATTTCGGCCCCCCCCCTCCCCCCATAATATAATAGAACATTTAACTCTTTGCGACCCGAATTATTTTCAGCTGATCTTCTCAATAGATTTGCAGAAGTTTATTTATTTCGCGGCAATATCGCGCAGTTTGTTTTCGTTTCAACATTTTAATATTTAACTAATATCACAACATATATTTACAATAATATATTTATATTGAATATATTATTCCGCGTAGGAAATTCTCATGATTTTTTCAGACACAACATAGATTCCATTTAGAATACTCAGAGTTACTCCAGAATAAGTCATACCTACTACCAATTGTCGAGGGAATTCCTATTCTTATCCCAAACATAGGACAAAGCCTCTTTTCCGCAATGCCGATTGGCTATACGCTGAGGCTTACTTTGTGCCACGTGCGTCATTACTAGAATCGGATGACAATTTGAACATCAAAAGTTAACAAATAGAGTTATATATTTAATATTATTATGGTTGCGTTCCGATATTTACTGACGATATTGAAAGTCTGTAATACACGTAATATAAATTTGAAATACTGGCAGTGAATTTTGGAATGCAGCCTATGTTTTTAATAGAACGTGCGTGTAGTATGTGTGTATGTACTTGCAAAATATAAATATCTATAATGCTTCGTACATTTCGTTCAATCGTAATGTAAAATGGAAACCAAAAAATATCTGGGAGAACGTTCGGGTTGGTCAAATAGGATCTGTTTGTTTTTTCTACTTAAAATCTTATATTTGAAACATTACGCTTCTAACCAAAATCTGCGTAGATTTTCTAACTAGAATCTATCATTTATTTGGGAAATCGATCTTAATTAGATTCCAAGAAATTTTTTATCCGGGATGTATATCACCTGCTGCGTTTAGCGGAAAAAGCGATCAGTGAACAGTCATTGATTATTGGTCTCTACTGTTAGATCCCTAAATTTAAACCAATTACGTTAATGAATTATTTAACCGTTGTACAATCGTTGTGTTCGCTGAACGCAACCAATGAATAAAACATTGCTTCTAAACTCGATGAGATCGAGATGTCGCAATGTTAAGGTAGGTGACTTGACCTAAGATCGCAGAAGGTTAAGGCAAGCAAAAGTACTAATGTCTGGACACTTACTAAACTTTCGACGTTCTTATCGTTTTGATCTTTAAATAGGAATATTTAAACTTTCACTCGGAATATATATATATATATATACGTTATTCTATATTGAAAGTTTAAATATTCATATTTAAAGGTCAAAACAACAAAAGTGTTCAGGCTTTAGGTACTTTCATTTTACGGAATAACGGAATTGCCGCAGTCACCGGGAGCCTTTCCGTAATAATCCCATAATAACTGCCCCGGTCAGTCCCTCCCCGAGAGCGCCCGCGTTGTTGACTCGTTAACGACTTTCGTTTTTTTCGCGCGGATCGCCCGTATTAGGCTCCTCGGGTCGTCCCCCTGCTCGAGCCGCTTCCCCTTCGGGCGGTCGCCCCATGCGCACGACGTTCGCAGCCGACTGAAGGGTTAACGTCGCGATATGCGCTCGGACAAATCGGGGAACGTGCGTGGAGTTGGTGAGCGCCGGAAATTCGGCGCCGTGTTCGAAATCGCGAGCGCAACAACCACCACCACCACTTCCTCCACCTCCACCATCACTGTCGTCGTCGTCGTCCTCCTCCTCGTCATCGCCACCACCACCGGCACCGTTCCCGCGCCGGTGCAGCACGTACACACACATATACACACGTACACGCGTACTCACGCACGTGTGTGTGAGTTGCCCCGCACGCAGCAGCGGCGACGAGAGGGTCGCCGCCGGCACCGGTGCGCCGGCACTGGCGGCGGCAGTGGCGGTGTGGGTGTAGGTGCGTACTATCGACCGGGTATCCTTCTGTGCCGCTGGACGGCGGCGGCGGTGGTGTGCCCCACCCTGAAAAGAGGAGAGTAGGGAGCGAGCCCCGAGAGCGAGCGAGCGAGTGAGACGCTCTGAAGCGGGCGAAAGCGCGCGTTGGACGAGGACGAGCAGCTCCATGGAGAGCAAGCGAAAGAGAGAGAGAGAGAGAGAGATCACGGCACGCAGAATGCGCCTCCTGCTTAGTGATAGCGTAGAGACTGTAGTGTTCACATCTCACACCACACACCACCAAAAATTCTTCACGTTTTCAACCGCGCGCGCTCAAAAGGAAAGTTCGATACATATAGATATATATATATATATATATATATATATATACACATATATTATATATATATATATATGTCCGCGTCACACACAAATTAGTCGCCGTTCGACCACCACCGCACGCACATCGCATACACGCACACTCCTCTGATGTAGTACATATATATCTATATATTTCGCAAATAGGTATATATATATACACACATACGCACGCGCGCATACACACATACACAGAGAAAGAGAGAGAGAGAGAGAGTGAGTGAGTGAGTGACAGACGTATATATACACGCATAATCACCAACGATTGTCACGCGCTCGTACACGCGTGTGTATTTTATACACGCGCATCGAGCACCGAAGGGCGCGCCGTACGCACGATCAGTTCGGCCGCCAGGAAGAACAAAAGAAAGAAGAAGGACAAGAGGAAGAATAGGTGCCGCCGAGTGTGGACACGAACCGTTCCTCCCCGAAGAGGTGGTGCTGCTTCCTTCCGTGTGCTCTCTCTCTCTCTCTCTCTTTCCCCCCCCCCCCCTTCACTCTCTTTCTCGTCGCCCTCGCGGCGACCCACCCGGTCGCCGCCGGTGTCGACGATATACCCTCACGGCACGTCCACGCGACGCCGGCCGGTCGAGTTTTCCTCCCCCGCGGCTCGTCGCCGACGGGAATCACGCTTCTCTCTTCGTCGTCTCCCTTGACCCGCGAGATATAATGACGCGCGCGTATCTCTCGCCGCCAGTGGGTTCAGTGAAGTGGTGGTAGCTCGGTTTGATCGGTGTGTCTCTCTCTTTTTTTCTTTCTGTTTCTCTCTCTCGCGACAGACAGTCGATTTTCCCCGATTCCGGCTGGTCCTTCCTCGCGAGGACGAAAGTTTCGCCGCATCCCCGGCGAGAGCGCGGTCTGGCAGGTCTGTGCGGGGTTCATCGTCGGAGTTTATCGTTGGTTCGGGTGATTTCGGAAAAGTTTACCGTAGACCTGAGGAGCGAATTGTACCGTTCGAGGGGAGTTTCGAGGGAGGGGGCGCTTCGCTAATGCGGAGAGGCTTTTCGGGCAGTGATTCGCATCGTGAGATTGGTACGTGTCGAGAAAGTGCGTCCTGACGGATCTCGCAGTTTGGGAAAAAGTTCTGCACGCATTTCCCCGTCAATACGCGAATTTCACCACGTCGAGATTACGTTGATACAGGGAAATGCACCTCTCGGAGAATCATTCGTCACGCGTTGCAATTCCCCGAATGCGCGTGTTTCTGTCAATCAACATTTTTCGTCTCGGCAATGTGCTCAACGAGAAATCGCGCGAGACTTCCGTTTCGAGCGCGCTACATCTAGTCTGTTCCTTTTAACTGCGCATCGCTGAACTGATGCGATAAGTTAGAGCGAGACAGGTAGATTTCATCTCGCTCCAATTTATTGCGCCAGCAGAGCGTAGCTCTGAAAAGAGAACGGACCAATTGTCGGATCGCCGCCGAGGGATCCAAATTTAGGCGACGCGATGTGACGTTCGATTTTGACGCGGAATGATAAAAAGCTCCGTCAGTTCATTTTCCTCGGCGCGCGTCGTCTCGTCTTCCGCCGGGAAATGCCCCTCGCGCTGCTCTCCCTCCCCTCCGAAGAGCGAAGCTCAAATCAGATACTCCTCGTTTGGAGCTCTCAGCGGGAGGCCCTTTCGGCGAATCTTTCGCACCGACCAACGACGGCGGAGATCTAATAGATCCATTAGGGCGCGTGTGACTCGCCGTCACGGCCGGCTCTCGTCGCGCTTCGACTCGATAATTGTAGTTTAGGGTGTGTGCGCGCACTTCGGACCCGCCGGGATAAAGTCCGCTCGCTCGATAATCACGGTCGTTGAACGCGCGCGCGGGGGGGTTACGTTTCGCGCGAGCCGCCGGTGCTTCCGCGAGCGAATTCTCGTTTCTCTCTTGGAGGATCCGCTCGGCTCTCGCTCTGAAAGAAAAAAAAAAGAAGAAAAGAGAAGAGAAAAAAAAGTCGGAAGTTCCGGTACCCGGTGCCGCTTTCGGAATTTTTATCCGACGCTGTCCTCCCCCCCCCCCCCCC